TTTATTGGCTGTTGTCTATATATTTCCGACATAGAATTATATTAAAATCTCCAAGATTAATAAAGAAGCCTCCTGGTACATTGAAGTTCTTGTGCAGTTCATCTTTTTGATGTATGTATGATGGTTATAGCCACATGTATCATCTGAATTGAGCTTCTGCTTGGAAGATTTATAAGGCGCTTGTAACATGTTTGCTTTTCTCATTTTCAGAGACTCAAGCGCCTAATAAGAATATTCTTCTTGTGAAGGAAAACTGGGTAAATTTTAAATGCCAATGCTGACACTCTTGTTACAGTAATTTTTATAGTGCAATGTAGAGAAAGAACATTAACAGCCCCAGTAATAGAATATACAATCGGCACAATAGATGTGCACTGAGATTCTAGCTTTAGGGCCTGTGTAAATGGGCCTTTGTTCACTTTTTAAACAGGTTTTGCATTCCTATACAAGCCTATAGAAATGCAAAACCCAATTGAAGCAGGTCAAATGCATGTCAGAAAGAGGTCAACTGCAGATCAAATGCAGCTGTCAAGTTCTGAATGATCTTACAAGTGTCCCAAACGGATGTCATTCTTGTGCCACCAACACAAGCCCAAAGCCTAGACACATTCCCTTAAATTTTAACCTTGTATAACCCCAGAATTGATGGGGACATTCAGAGGCATCAACCTGTGTGTGTGTGTGTGTGTGTGTGTGTGTGTGTGTATTTGTAAGTATGATATATAGTCATGTACAAAAGTGCTGTATCATAAGACTCAGATATTCTGTACACTGATCCTGCCAACATTCAGTGGGGGACATTTATCAATTCTGTCACATGGCAAAGCAGTGCTAAACAGGAGCAGTCAAGATGTATTTATGGTACTGGAGAACCCAGACCCAAAGTTATTAACACAGTTCTTCTGCTAGTGAGCAACTTTGTTTGCAAACAGCAGTCTGGCCGAGTGGGGTGGTTTTGGTGAACTGCAGCTTCATGCCTAATGTAAATGTTATTTTTATAGTTAAATGAGCTTGTATGCACATTTGTGAATGGGTTTTCATATGCTCTTACAAGGTAATCTTGCATTTTAGGATTATTGCTCCTTCAAATCTTTAGTACCACAATTAGAATAGCAAAAGCAATGGATACCTTTAGAGCGCACCAAGTATTCCATTTAACTGTGTGAATATTTTATGTTTATGTTTTTCAGTTGTCTCATACTGTAGTATCTAATGTGCCCTCTGTTGCTGAGTGTTCACTCTCACAAGACCAGCAACATACTGTAAAAGGCCCACCGCTCACCCAGCCAGTGAAATCACTTCTTCCTAATGCAGATGAATTACCGGACTGCCTTCTCCTTCCACCGTTAGGTAAAGAATTGATTCTGCCTGTCTCTCCTTTTATAATCCTGAGTATGTTCTTCACATACATTGTCATAATCCAGGGTCAGGTATTACTCAGAACAAACAATGCACTTGATCTTATTTTTCATAGCATTTGTTTCCTCTAGTATATTAATTGGATCCTGAATACAAAACAATGCTGTTAGTATGGATTGACAACTGTTGTCATGTTGAGACAAATATATAGAACCAGGGAAATAGGTGTTTTTAAGAGCTTCAATACTAAAGGCAATAGACAAACCCTGTGCACCAGAATACTAGTTGGATTTAGAACTTCTGCAGAATATCTAGATAGGCAAATGTCACAAGCTTTCAGGTGCATTTAGCTTACAGATAAGGTCAGTTTAAGATGCATCAGAGTTGACCTCCTACTAAGCTGCATTGATGTTTATGTAGATGAAAACAGTTCTGACTGGGACAAAAGCTCATGTACACAGGAGGGGTATTTTTTTTTCTTATACAGTTCTTTTTCCTTTCTCCTTTCCCTCCCATTTCTCCTTTCTTTCCACTTTTTCCTTTCCCTCGTCCTTTTCTTTCCCTCCATCTTTTCGTCTTTTCCCTCCCCATTTCTTTTGTCCCAATTAAGAATTTGACATATAAAACAATTTTGTATTTTCTTCAAGTATGAATAATAACCTAATTATGGCATTGTCTCCGATTTTGTAGATATAAGTAGATTGCTGTCACCTATCAGATCTCCTATATTTGAAGTTCCCAGTGATAATGTGGTTCAGACAGTACAATCCTGTTTAAAACACAGGAATGGAGAATCGATAAAGGTAAATGTTTACAATGGTGCTTTTTTAATTGGAGTATATTTAAATATGAACCATTTCCTTATATTGGACATAGCATTAAATGCCTCTGTGTTGCTCTCTGCCAAGATGCTATTTAAAGGCTAAGTTCACCTTTTGCAAATATTAAAGAAATGCATATTTAAAAAATTCATTTTTTTAATTTTTGTATTCAAGAATGGAAAGCATTGCAATTGTGATCACTGGATCATGGCTGCAACGCTAAGACTTCTGCAGTTTACTTCCAAACTGAAGCTCTGTACAGAGGTACAAAGTTTTAGTTTACATTTCCAATGAGAAGCACTTCTCTTTCTTTCTCTAAAGGTGCCCACACACTTTGCGATAATCGTACGATAATCGCGGGAAATCCCACGATCGTACGATTATCGTAATGTGTGTGGAAGCCGTGCGACCTCTACTACTGTAAGGTCACACGACTTTTATCTTACGAACATGTTTCGAAAACCCGCCGAAAATGGTACGATTTTCGGCGGGTGTGTAGCATGTTCGTAAGATAAAAGTCGGACGGGCCGGTGTGCGCAAGCGCACACTGCCTGTTAGGCATTGCGGTCATCAGAAGCCCGCCCCTCAGCGGGGCGGGCTTGCGATCATCGCAAGTACGATCTGCCTGTCCAAGATAGGCAGATCGTACGTTTTTAAAATTACCTTAGAAGCATCGCAAGACAGAAGTCTTGCGATGGTTGTAAGGTGTGTGCCCAGCCTTAGGAAGAAGCGCTTCTTATTGGTCAGCGGGGTCAGGTGATGAGGAATGAGGAATCGCCATTTTTGAGGGAAATTTAAACTGAAACTATGTACTGCATTATGGAGCTTCAGTTTGAAAGCAAACTACGGAAGGCTGAACTTTGCAGCCATGATCCAGTGATCACAGTTGCAATGCTTTCCAGGGTTAATCCCAGACAGATGTCAACCCTATTCCAGACTGATCTTTCATTGCTTGATTGGCTGGTGGCAGGATTGTGCCATCCAAAGTCTGTTGACATCTTTTATATTAAGCAGTGGTAGTCTACACCGTTAGAATTAACAGTTTATTCATTATAATGAATAAAGAAATAAGAGGGCCCAGTAAAAATAAATATGAATCCAGAAAGCAGCGGAGCCTGCATTGAAGACAGAAGCCTCAGAGGCACGTTAAAAAATGTGTATCATGTATATTGTACAACACCTGCCAGCATAAAATGGGATTATTATGGAGGCAAGGGTTAACACCTAGGCGATTGAGCTGTTTTCGCACATTTTTTTTGCAATTTTGCTTTGAAAACTGGACAGTTGTCTATGGGACTATAGCTCCTGCACCTTTTTGCGTGACAGGCGATTTAGGCCGTGCAACGCAAAGGTGTGAACAGGCCCCTTTTGACTTCAATGGGAATCTGTGTTTTGCGCGATATCGCAATACTAAATCCGTGCTATAAATCGTCTAGGTGTGCACCTAGCCTTAGTTGTCATGTTGCAAAACTAAAATGTTAACAGCGTTGCCTGTTTTTGCATTTTTTTTTACTCCATCAACCTTGCAGAATGGGGAAACATCTAATCTCTTGCTCCAGCATGAAGCAACTGTAGAATGCAAAAATGACATTGGAGATGTACCCGAACCAGAAAGTAAGCACACACTGGCCATCACTCACCTGAAGGGAATATATTGTCCTTTCTATATATTTTATTTTAGTTCAAGCTTAGATTAATTTAATAATTCCAGGTAGATGTGAAATTATGTATATTATTTATTAATTTTTTTGCTACTTGCAGCCTAAAGGTAGTTAGTGTGAGGCTACGACTACAGATTTTCTTTAGAACCAGATTTACTGCTAAGCTGTAACTGTTTGTAAAGTGCAACTCTGTAATGCGCAGGGAGTTTTATTTTCTCTTTCAATTGAGTGTTATGTTGTATGTTGGCATTTACACTGTGGTGTATAATTCAACAATTATTTTCATATATGTGTACAAAGTATATAATTGGGCTCCATTTGTATGATTTGTAAAATTTTGTGTTATAATAAGCTGTTTTCAATTTACGTTCACTTATAGTTGTTGATATTTGTAGTGATTGTAACCCATTTACAACACTTTATGAATCCTTTATAGTTAAGGAAGGGAGGACTCACCTTTTTGTATTCAAACTTAAAGGGAAAGTTTTATGTGATTTACAGTATTTAACAACTATTTTAAACCTCTTTGTTTATGGAATTCTAGATAATGTACCAAATGAATGCCAGAAACTTGACATGGAGCAGATTCCTGAAGTGTGCGACATTCCATCCATTGTGGGCGGTGGTGATGCCAGAACTCCAACAAAGGTATTTATGTTCTTTTTTTAGTCCTAAGAAAGTTTATTTCTTAGGAAATAAACCTAACCTCCCCCCCCTATTGACTATATTTTAGCTATGCACATAGCCGCGCCCCACTCGTGGCCCTGCATTATCCAGTCCGCCACTCCCACTCTACCACTTCCAATCCCTTCCCTATCCTCTCTCTTCCCATTCCCCCCCTCCCCCCCGCTGACTTGCTCCCTGATCCCCTGTTCTGGCCCTCCCAAATTACTGCTCCTCTCGGTTGCAGCCCGTACCGGCATACATACTGGCCCCTATCGCCTCTTACGGTACCCTGCCCACAATCAACATTGGTTCTTCTCCCACCTGTTGCAGCAACTCTCTCACCATGGTAAAGGTCTGATCATCCTGGCTGGGGACTCCAATGTGGTCCTGAATCCCTCAGTTGATAGGACCACCACCCTTTCCGGGACCACACCCCCTGATGCTGTTCAATCTAAATTGATGCGCTCCCTCCTAAACACACACCGTATGATTGACCTATGGCGGGAACTGCAACCCACATCCCGGGATTACACATACTATTCCCACCCCCACGCGGTCTTTCCTAGGATCGAACCATTTCCTCATCCCACAGCGCTCCCACGGCTCCTTCCGGAGGGCCACCATCCTTGCGGTGCCCTGGTCAGATCATTCCCCCATTGCTGTGGAATGCTCTACCATTCCTGGCCGCCCCCCACATTCTAACTGGCGCCTGAATGAGTCACTCCTCTCCTCAGAGAGCCCGCTCTCCAAAATTCGCTCTGCCTTACAGTCATACTTTCAATTGAATGAAAGATCGGTCTCCTTCCCCGTCTCCTTCTGGGAGGCCCACAAGGCCACTATCAGAGGAGAATTGATAAACCTAGCCTCCTACCTCAAGAAGGCCAGGAATGGTAGAATAACAGCACTGACCAACAAGGGGCCTCACCCACGTCGGCTCTGAAAGCCCAAGTGGATTCCACTAAGACGGAGCTTAATCTACTCCTTAATGAAAAAGTGGAGAGGGAGTTGCGCTGGAACAAGCAATTTGTTTACATGCGGGCTAATAAGCCCGGCCCTCTACTAGCTAAACAGCTCCGCATGATGCCCTCCCCTAAACCTGTGATTAAGTTTCGAGCCCCTCCTCGTGGGGTCACGGCCATCCCGCT